TAGATTGAAAAATTCAATAAAACTTTATTATTTAAAAAAATAAAAACGTATTACTTTAAAAATAGCAGTTGTCATGGCAATGCCACATTCTTGTCTACTGTTAGTAACATTCCCCTTTGTTTTTCTTTCAGGTTTGTGTCTGTTTTTTTCCCCTCTTATTTTTCTCTCGCTCTCTGTATAAAACATAAGTTTTTCTAATAAATCTTTAATAAAAATGATAAAGGATTCCCGGAGCACTATGGCATCGCCACTTCCCAATGTTAGTACCATTCCTCCTTCCCCTTTGGTTTTTAAGGTTTTGTTCCTATTTTTGTCTTTTTCTTTTGTTTTCTTTTATACGATCAATATTTCATATATGATAAAGGATTCCCAGAGCACTATGGCATCGCCACTTCCCAGTGTTACTAACATTCCCCTTTTGGTTTTTAAGATTCGGTTCCTATTTTTGTCCTTTTCTTTTGTTTTTATTATACAATCTTACTTTTACGAATCGATATTTAATACATTAAAAATGATTCCCAAAGCACTATGGAATCTCCACTTTCAAATGTTAATAACTTTTTTTTTCTAGGATTTTTATACAATCTCACATAGAAATGCTTTAAAGTGACATTAAACCCTCAGATTTTTTAACATAAAGCAATACTGTAATGTGCGCCTTACTGTAATCCATGGTAGTTTCCCTTCTCTTTGCTGCTCTTCCTTTTAAATGTGTGTCTGTTCTCATGCTGGGGGAGAACTTCTGTTTTGCAGCAGACTGCCTTGTCCCTGGAATGGATACATGGTGTCTGTGTGCAGGTTCACAACCTGAGCCAGCACTACAGGAAGAGGCACTCAGCTGCAAAGGAAAGTTCTCCCCAAGCATGAGAAGAGATACGGATTTAAAAGGAAGAGAAGCAAAGAGAAGGGAAGCAACCATGGATTACAGTAAGGCGCACATTACAGTATTGTTTTATGTTACAAAATCTGAGGGTTTAATGTCACTTTAATAAATGAAAAGGATTCCCAAAGCACCATGGCATCACCATTCTCCAGTAACATTGCACTTTGTTTTCTCAGGGTTTGTTTTCTTTTTCTCTTCCGCTTTCCATACAGTTTTAGTTATACATATAAAGATTTAACTTATGAAAAAGGATTCCCAGAGCACTACGGGAAAGCCGCTTTCTGATGTTAGTAACGTAAACCCCTTTGTTATTTCAGGATATTGTGGAACAATGCGGAGCTGAGAAAGTCGAGCTGGTGAAGAAGGCCGGTGAAATGAAGAAGCTTTATGCCGAAGTTTTGGTATATATCGTACAATTCCTTTTTTTTTGTACTCATGTATTTTTTTAATCGATGTGCGATTACAGGTTTTGCCCTCCAACAGGGACATTTAGAATTGAGGTGGACCTTCCATGAAAATGAAAGGTCTGCTTTACTAACAGCAACCCCCCCTCCACCCCCCCCAATACAAATGCCTTAAAAACAGCTTTACTGGTTGTATGAAGTGGAGGCAGACGTGCAGATATATGAAGTTGCTGTATGAGGCCCCTTTTATTTCTCATATACACCAATCAGCCATAACATTTGACTACCCACCTAACGTTGACTAGGCCCCCTTTTGCCACCAAAACAGCTCTGACCTGTCGAGAAGGCATGGACTCCATTAGACCTCTGAAGGTATGCTGTGGTATCTGGATGACCCCCAATATTGAGTAGGTCCCCCTTATCCTGACCCGTCCAGGCATGGACTCCACTAGACCCCTGAAGGTATGCTGTGGTATCTGGATGACCCCCCTAATATAGAGTAGGTCCCCCTTCTCCTGGCCCATCCAGGCATAGACTCCACTAGACCTCTGAAGATATTCTGTGGTATCTGGATGACCCCCTAATATTGAGTAAGTCCCCCTTATCCTGACCTGTCCAGGCATGGACTCCACTAGACCTCTGAAGGTATGCTGTGGTATCTGGATGACCCCCTAATATTGAGTAAGCTCCCCCTTTTCCTGGCCCATCCAGGCATAGACTCCACTAGACCTCTGAAGGTATGCTGTGGTATCTGGATGACCCCCCTAATATTGAGTAGGTCCCCCTTTTCCTGACCCATCCAGACATGGACTCCACTAGACCTCTGAAGGTGCCCTCCCCCTCCTCTGTTCGTTCCTCTAGTCAGCGCTGGAGGATCGTAGAGGGGATGGGGGAATCCCTGCGGGGAGCCGTGACTGAGAGTCATCGCTCACTGCAGGACTTTTCGATATTCCTCCCAAATTGGAGCTGTAATGCTGTCTTATGTTTATTGCCCTACAGCTAAAGTTCGGGGAAGCTGAAGACCAGGAATCGGAGGAGCTCTTCGGCTGGATCGGCACCTTCATCAAAGAGTTTCATGGCGCCTACGCGGACATCAGGACCCCGAAAGGATGACAGTTTTTCAAATCACCTCCGACGGAGCCCTGGCTGTTGGAAAATAAAACCCGTCTTCTGTCTGTTTTAGCTTGAGCCCAACTGTGCAGGGGTAACCGTGACACTAATCTGACATATGTACGCTCACCCCTTCGTCCTTTAACCGTGTTTACAAGAACCGGACTGAAACGGAGCAAAGGAAGTGAATGACGTGAGAGGTTCCCGAGCCAACTGTAAAAGAAACATGGCTGTCCTATCCAGGACATATGATTTTCACACACACAGCTGTAGGTCACCACTTAAAGTGTAACTCCCCTTTCGTTGACAGAAAATCCATCCCCTCTGGGTGATCAATGTACATTGCAAGGATTTTAACAAACTTTGTTGTAGATTCTGCCTGTTTCTGTTCTCATGAAATAGCAGCTTGTTTCAAAATGTCCTTTCCAGACTGATCCCTGAATGGGAGGGGTATGGTCCCTGAATCGGAGGGGTCTGACTCCTGAATGGGAGGGTCTGATTCCTGAATGGAGGGGTCCGATTGCTGAATGGAGGGGTCTGATTGCTGAATGGAGGGGTCCGATTGCTGAATGGAGGGGTCTGATTGCTGAATGGAGGGGTCCGATTGCTGAATGGAGGGGTCTGATTGCTGAATGGAGGGGTCCGATTGCTGAATGGAGGGGTCTGATTGCTGAATGGAGGGGTCCGATTGCTGAATGGAGGGGTCTGATTGCTGAATGGAGGGGTCCGATTGCTGAATGGAGGGGTCTGATTGCTGAATGGAGGGGTCCGATTGCTGAATGGGAGGGGTCTGATTCCTGAATGGGAGGGTCTGATCCCTGAATGGGAGGGTCTGATTGCTGAATAGGAGGGTCTGATTGCTGAATAGGAGGGGCTGATTCCTGAATGGGGGGGTCTGATCCCTGAATGGGAGGGTCTGATTGCTGAATAGGAGGGTCTGATTCCTGAATGAGAGGGGGTCTGATTCCTGAATGGGAGGGATCTGATTCCTGAATAGGAAGGTCTGATTCCTGAATGGGAGGGGGGGGTCTGATCCCTGAATGGGAGGGTCTGATTGCTGAATAGGAGGGTCTGATTGCTGAATAGGAGGGTCCGATTGCTGAATGGGAGGGTCTGATCCCTGAATAGGAGGGTCTGATTCCTGAATAGGAGGGTCTGATTGCTGAATAGGAGGGTCTGACTCCTGAATGGGAGGGGGTCTGATTCCTGAATGGGAGGGTTCGATTCCTGAATGGGAGGGTCCGATTCCTTAATGGGAGGGTCTGATTCCTGAATGGGAGGGTCTGGGTTCATTATAATCAGATAGTGGAAATATAAATTTGTTCCAGCATGTCCTTGACAAAAAATTCCTGAATGGGAGGGTCTGACCCCTGAATGGGAGGGGTCTCATTCCTGACTGGGAGGGGTCTGGGTTTGTGATAATCAGATGGTGGACTTTCTGTGTTGTGATGAGAACACCTGCAATGATGGTATCCCTTTGTTCCATATTCCTGCTAGTTTCTGTTCTAAAGAAGTAGCAGTTTGTTTCAGCATGTCCTTTTCAGACTGATTCCTAAATAGGAGGGTCTGATTCCTGAATGGGAGGGTCTGATTCCTGAATGGGAGGGGTCTGATTCCTGAATGGGAGTGGCATGATTCCTGAATGGGAGTGGCCTGATTCCTGAATGGGAGGGTCTAGGTTCATTATAATCAGCAGGTGGACTTTCTTTGTTGTAATGAGGACACTTGCAGTATTGGCATCCCGTTGTTGAAGATTCTTGCCTGTTTCTGTTCTGAAGATGTAGCGGTTCATCTCCTTTCCAGACTGGTTCCTGAATGGGAGGGTCTGATTCCTGAATGGGAGGGTCTGATTCCTGAATGGGAGGGGTCTGATTCCTGAATGGGAGTGGCATGATTCCTGAATGGGAGTGGCCTGATTCCTGAATGGGAGGGTCTAGGTTCATTATAATCAGCAGGTGGACTTTCTTTGTTGTAATGAGGACACTTGCAGTATTGGCATCCCGTTGTTGAAGATTCTTGCCTGTTTCTGTTCTGAAGATGTAGCGGTTCATCTCCTTTCCAGACTGGTTCCTGAATGGGAGGGTCTGATTCCTGAATGGGAGGGTCTGATTCCTGAATGGGAGGGGTGTGATTCCTGAATGGGAGAGTCTGATTCCTGAATAGGAGGGTCTCGGATCATTACAATCATCTGGTGGACTTTCTGTGTTGTATTGAGGAAAGTTGCAGTGTCAGCATCCCTTTGTTGCAGATTCCTGTCTCTGTCTGCTGTGTAGAAATAGCAGTTTGTTTCAGCATGTCCTTTCCAGACTGATTCCTCAATGAGATGGTGTGATTCCTGAATGGGAGGGTCTGACTCCTAAATGGGAGGAGTCTGGGTTCATTATAATCAGCTGGTGGACTTTCTGTGTTGTAATGAGGAAAGTTGCAGTGTCGGCATCCCTAATCTCACCAAAAATGACATTCCTATTGCAGGGGATGCCCAAAATGTTACTTGTATCTTAGTGCAGACTTCTGGGAAAACTAGTCAGCCAATCAAGGAAACAGGAAGTGACATTTCTGGGGGTGTACTGTACACCAACTCTTTATACAACGCCTCCAGAGCACCACAGTGAGTTGAATTGTTTTTTTTTTATAGTTTTAGAAGATTACAGCGGCTGGTAATTTTAAAAGGAAAGGTCATTTTTAAGAAAATGAAATCACAAATTGCCTCGTGCAGCAATCAGATACATTGTATTTATTCTTTATATCTTCTTATTTTATCTAAATTTTCATTTTTGTTATGTTTTTTTTTTTAAGTGGAGTTTCCTTTTAAAGTCCCCTAGTTGATTCTAATGTTTTCCTATATTCATTTATCATGACACGGACACAAATATATCACACGGCTCCCAAAGGAAGCATAGCCACATATACAAAATAGAAAATGATAAAGTTACAGGAAGTGTAATGTAACGCAGAAAACCTGACAAGGAGTCCGTGTGACGCGTCCTCCACATCACAGAACAATCTGTGTGAAGGAAATAACACGAGCGGTAACACAGAGGTAGTTGACATCAATTTTGTGATCTGCAAACACCCCCCCACTGGGCCCCGTGAATGTGCAGGAAGGTAATTGCAACCCCTGATCTCTGTCGACACTTTGTTGCCTCCCAAGGAGGGAAGTTGCATTGCACAGTCATGTGACCAGAAGGTCTCTAGTCCATTCCTAAATGGGAACTTGCAAATTAAGTTGCATTGGGTTACAATGGATTAGGTCAACCTCTCTTTAAAAGGAAGTGTACATTCTGACTGTAGTTGAGGGGTTTCCTGCATGGCCAACTGCTCCACCTGACTTCTCCCTCCCGAGGAAGATAGACTCCCTTCTGCCCGCTTCCACACTCCAGGTATGGGAAAGCATGTGTCCTCCCCCAAGTGTGCCTAAGCACTCGATTACCAGGTCAGGACACTATTACATGGAGGGAGGGGCTAAGATGTCATCCACCTGGCTGACACTGGACCTTACTCAGGGTGGACTCTTGCAGTGGAAAAGTGGAGAGGGATTGTGGCTCTGTTGGGTGCTGGTTGGGTGTTAGGGTGACACCCCCTGGCAGGTGACAGGGGCGGAGTCTAAGTACCAGCTAGTGTTCACCAGAGCTCCTGATGGTGGAGATGGGCTTGGCTGCTTGCTGGTACCAGGTCGCGGTCCCCAGGGTTGCCCCGCCAAGGGATGGACGAGAACAGGAGGGCTCCAATGAGGAGACAGTATTCAGATCCAGGCAGAGTTCAAGGCAGGCGGCTAACAGAGAGTGGTCAGACGGTCCCAGGTCAGCAACGAGTAATCAGAGGATAAACGCAGGAGACATGAGCACAGTCGGATCCAGGCAGAAGATCAGGGCGGGCAGCAAGCGAAGAAGGGTCAGATGGTCCGGGTCAGCAACGAGAAAACAGCAGAAGTATAAGCTCTTAGATAAACAGGAAGCTGCAGAGCTAGTGCTTAAGTACCCTTCTGAGTCAGAGACGACAGGCCCAGTCTCAGGGTACACCTGGACCCTGTGAGATCCATTAGAAGCGGATCTTCTGGAAAACCTGGCTGGGATTCTCAGAGGAGAACGGTAAACCCCGACAGGTACTCTGAGCTACAGGGGTATGCATCCTGCTCACTCATAGAGAACCAGAAAGATAGAGAGTCGGTTCCATTGGTAAACTGGTACTGGGAGAACATCCAATCAGCAACACAAATCTCCAGGTCAGGTCCACCAAACCATCGCTGTGTAGGACCTGAGTCCTGATCAACCAAACATTGGTGGCGCCAGGGGTTGACTCGTTGACTTCTGAAGCTGAGATCATCTGAATCCAAACAAAGCCCTTAACACGCAACTTGTATGTCCTTCCTACGTTGATGTTGGGTACCTCTGGGGAGGTTCCGTTTCCTCTCACAATCCAAAAACATCTGCCAGCCATTGTCCATGAAGGGTGTCTATGCATTTATGGTGCGGGCGTTACTCCTGAGCACCGATGTGAGTGGTCGCTGTCCTTTGTACAGCCAAGTAGAACACAATGTAAATGTATATAACCAACTAATTACAAGTAGTATGCCTCTAGTGGGGACGTTTAGGGGTGAGCTCCTCAGGGGCGGGGACTGATCTAACTGTTTTTAATGCTAACTGTAAAAAAAAGTCAATGCTACTGTATATAAATGAATAAATCAAGGCTGAGATATTGTTTTGTAAGCTTTATTATTACTACGCGGTTATACATTCTAAGCTCTAAAGATTACATTATCAGCCCTATACGAATAGCAGGTGATCACTCTATAACTACAGCGAACGTCTCAATATAAAAAATAAAAAGATATATTAAAAAATAAAAAACCTCCTGGAATAATCCTCCGTGCATAAACCGCTGCAGGACGTTATTGTTTTTTGGCATTCCCTTTAATTATTAACATTATGTGATTAGGCAAAAGACAGCCAGGACACCGTTCTTGTTTTGGCCGCGGGGTAAATTCCGATCCAGCGTAGTCGCGT